AAAGTTAAAAATGACACCACAGAAAGGTCTGATTACCAAAATCTATAGAACTCTACAACACCTTGCAAAGAGAATAGCAAATGACTCGTTAAAGAGTGGAAAAAATACAAGAACAGGCAGTTTACCAAAAATGACACTCAAATGGATTGCAAACACATGAAAAAATGTTTAGGATCACTATCCATCTAGGAGAGGCAAATCACAACTATGATGAGATAGCATCTTACACCCACAATGATAGGCCAATTAACAATAAAAACAACCCCCCAGCCAGTCCTGAGGCTTTGGGGTTCAGCTCAAGGGGAGTCTCTCTGGGACATGGGGGTACAGGGAATGGTGTGACCATTGGCTGGGCAAGCCTACACAGTAGGGTATGCTGGGCCCCTCTAGGGTTTCCCATAAGGGCTCCAATCAATTTCTTCCCCTTTGCTTAAAAAAAAAAAATGGTGGGGGAGGAAGGAGAAAGGGGGAGCTGATACCAAGGGCTCAAGTAGAAAGAAAATGTTTTTAAATGATGATAGAAATATATGTACAAATGTGCTTGACACAATTGATGTATGGATTGTTATCAGGCTATAAATTAATAAAAAGTTACTATAATAAAATGGAAAAAATGCTGGAAAGAATGTGGAAAGTATATGGAAATATTGGAACCCTAAACACTCCTGATGGGCTTATAAACTTGTACAACCACTATGGAAAGTTCTGCAGTGTAACCTAGAGCGAAGGACCTAGATTTCATTATGTGAAATGAGCCAATCATAAAGGACAAATATTGTAGGAGACCACTACTATAAAAATAAACACGAGACAAAGGCAAGCTCCTGCTCTAAAGTCAATGAATATTCTAGTCTAGCTTCCCATAAGAGGTAGTAGGAGGGGGTACCAAAACTGGAATTGTCCTGGGCAGACTGGAGCTTTTGTAGTATACATCTTTCCCGCATCAAGCAACTCTCTCTGAGTTAGTGCACTCAGTGGCGTTACCTGGGAAGGTTCTCTCTGGTTACAGTGAATTTTTTCATAAAAGCAGTTTCACTCAAACCTCTTTTTTATTTTTTTTATGGCCGATTTAAGAGAACAGCATGTGGCTGTGAAATTTTGTTTCCTGCTCAAGAAAAATGCTACAGGCACTGTTGTGATGTTGAACACAGCCTACAAGGGCAGCACTATTGGAAAAACTCAAGTGTTCAATTGGTTTTCTCATTCCAAAAAGAGATGAAATGATGACAAACCTCATTCTGGATTTCTGTCATCTTCCTCAATGAAGGAAAATGTCCACGCCTAGTGCATTTGGAGTTCATTCCACCAGATCAGACTGTTAATCAAGCTTTCTGTCTAGAAGTTCTGAAAAGATAGTGTAAGGGTGTGTAACAAAAAGGCCTGATTTGTGGCAGACAGGAGACTGACTGGTTTTGCCACCGCAGCAATGCACCTGCTCACACAGCCATCTCAGTGCTCCAGTTTTTGGCAAACAACAGCATGTCTCTCTTGCCTCCCACACCTGACTCACCTGACTTCACTCCATGGAACTTCTTGTTTCCACGAATGGAGAGGGACATGAAAGGACAGCGACTTGACAACGTAGAACAGGTGAAGAAAAAATGGGGGAGCTGCTGTCAGCCCTCCAAACAGATGAGTTTGAAAAAGGTTGCCAAGGATGGAATAGCAGATTTGACAAATGTATTCAGTGGAATGAGAGTATGTTTAAAGTGATAAGGTTGTTTTGTTAAAAATTTTTTTAAATTTAAATACATGCCTTTGGAGGAAAAAAATCTGGATTTCTTTGGGCACCTGTCATACATCTTCCAAAATATATCTGTTTGTTCTTTTGGCAGTCCATAAACAAAAACTCAAACATGCTATTGAGTCCACGCCAATTCAAAGCAGCTCTATAGTACCGGGGAGAACTGGCCTGGTGAGCTTCTGAGACTGGCTGTTTAAGGGAGTAAAAAGCACCGTCTCTCTCCTCAGAAAGGCTGGTGGTTTTGAATGGCTCACCCTGTTGGTTGCAGCCCAACGTATAACCATTACTCCACCAGGACAGTTCATGGTATTTTCAATATTCTTCAGCAGCAACCTAATTCAAAATACATTGATTTTTCTTTGGTCTTCCTCATTTAATGCCCAACTTTTACATGCAAATGAGGCCACTGAAAATACCATGACTTAAATGTGGTGAAACAACGAGATGGTGCCCTGCTGTCAGAAAAAAAACAGCCTTTGAGGACTTAAAGGCCTGTCTTAAAACAAGCAGACATCTAAATGAGGTACCAACCAAGTCCACATGGAAGAAGCACACCAGCCTGTGTGATCCAAGGATTGTAAATAACAAAATCAAAATCCAAAAGAGGGAATGGTATGAGAGCTTAAATTGTGAACACGCAGTTTGCAGAATGCTATGGATGACAGTAGGAGCCCCGAATCCATTTGCAGCATCCCTGCATGGATAAGCCCCGTGTGAATCCCCTGTGACCATAGTTAAAGAGTACTAATAATCTTGCTATCAGACAAAACATTGTAAAGTGACTTATGGCAGATGTAGTTAGGTTAAAATGCAATACTTTATCATTTGATTTCCCGTTAGACCCATTTTCTTGTTTACATTCACTGTTTAACTTTGGAGTGATTAATAATAAGTACAATTTATGAAATGAACTTGGGTAGCCCAAGAAGGTTTTGATGGCTACTAACTCAGAGACTGACTGTCGGAATCCACGTAATGGCTCTCCTCAGCAAAAAAAAAAAAAAGTCTTGACCATTTACTTCTATAGAGATAGCCAGCAAGGAGACACCAGAGAGCCATCTATTGTGAAAGACATGGGGTTAGGGGTCTCCATGAGCCAGGGGCCAATGCAAAATCCATGCAGAACACAGCACGTCGTGAGCCATCCTCAGCCTTCTGCACCAGGGAGGTTGCTTGGACGTCAAAATAGATCAACTTTCCACAGTTTTGAAAAATATCAAGCATTTCATTTTCAATGAACAATAAAATGTTTCATCAGCTTGAGACTGTCCTGGCAGTCATTGGCAGGAAAATCCAACCTGGGAGAGTTACCATGGAGGACTGAGCCAAGGCGAAGTTTTTTTCCTTACTGGAAAGTTCACCTCAATTTGATGGGTCCACAGGATAAAGCATTCTCATGGAGTACGCTGTGTGGTAAACATTCTGGAACTACCTGCTTCTCTTGCCTGCAGAGAGACATGATTTACAGCATCGTGACTGAATGAACAACTGCTTTGTGGTCCAAGAGATTGCCTTCTAGTGGGATCTCACTGAAGTGGAGCCTCAATGGAGACTCGTATCTCCATGGTCGTATTGTCTCTTCTCCAGCTAGAAAGGCCAAGGCCAAAGGACTCACTGCCATCAGCCTGATAGGCTACGTGTGTTTTATTTGACAGATGTGTTCACTGTCATGGAGAGGACTTTGAAAGTGATAAGGTTGTCTTGTTAAAAAAATTAAATACATGGCTTTGAAAAATATTTCCAGCTCTTTGGGGTTTCTCCTTCATATGTCTGCCTAGGGCTCATGAACCATGTAACACTGTTTATTTGTACATCTTAAAAACCACCCTGACAGGGTGAGGTGGCCCAGTGAGGCGGCACCTCAGCTGGGTCTGTTTCCCAATATGGGGAGAAAAGGAAAAGACCCATGAGCTCTTGCCATATAACTTTACTCAATGGTCACCCCAAATTCACGGATAAGCCCAGAGGGTGATTAGTGAATCCTACTGGAAACTGGAGTCAAGAAGGAGTGGGGTGGAGTGTCTGCCTATCTCAGACCAGGCAACTGTGCTCTCGCTGATGGTTAAAGCTGGCAGGGCAGTGTGTCAACGCACAGAATGAAGTGCATAGACACCAATGAAGAATAGGCTCAGGATCAGGTACCTAACTGGACACTTGTGACTTAGTTTGCATGCAGCCCCTGGTGACCCAAGAGAAACGAGATTTTAGATGCTGTCCTTTCGAGGTGCACAACATCCCTCATGGACCACACCAAAAGGATTCAATTTGGAACTCCCACTAAATGAACCAGATTCTATCTTGAACCCACCAGTAGCAGATTAAAGTGGAAAACTCAGTGCCTGAGGCGGAAACGACTCTCTGTGCCCCTGTGAAAGGGCACGCATGAGTGTTTGGCCCCATCTCCATCCTTCACGGTAAATGGAACGAGTGTTCAGTCACCCAAATGGTTCATCTCTACCAATCAAAAATCCATGTAATTGGGTCTAGAAGTTGGTCGGATCCATGCATACTTTCTCTCAACAATGTCTTAAATTCCGCACCAGTGGCTAAATTAATGGTACTAGCAATTGAATTATTATGAGGAACCCTGGTTGTATTGTGGTTATGCGTTAGGCCGCAATCTGCATGGTTGGCAGTTCAAAACCACCAGCAGCTCCTCAGGAGAAAGACTGGGCTTTCTTCTCCCGTGAAAAGGTACAGTCTTGGAAAGACACGGCAGGTAGCTGTGAGTCAGCATTGACTCAACAGCAGTGAGTTTATTGTGTGTGTTTGTTGTCTTTATCAATAGAACTACTATATGCCCTCTGGGGAAAATGTATAAGTCTCTAATAAAATAATAATAATTCTCTCTACAGTGAACCAGGTACATATATACACCATAGATACAGGAATGGATTTTGAGCTTGGTCAGGCCCACTCCTGCCTCAGCGTCTCCAGCGCTGACAGACTGATCCCTGACTCATGGCTGCCAGCACACAGCCAGCCTGACCCATAGATTGCACAACATGGAAAAGTGCCCTAAGCAGGGAAAAGCCCAGTGTGTTTTCTGGAAAGGGTGAGGCCTGGGGAGGGGGTCCCAGGCAACCTATTTGTTTCATTCCACTTCTTCTCCTCCCTCCTGCCCACCCCTCCCCACAAGCCCCCAACCCCACCCCACCCCTGCCTTATTCCCACCCGCCATCCCAGGAGGGAAGGCTCAGTATAAATACCAGCTGTCTCTCCCCAGCCAGCAGGACCAGCAGCTCTGCTTGGCCTGAAACCAGGTAAGGGACTACCCCAATGGGGATGTTTCAAAGCCTAATCTGTCTGTTGTCTTGGTCCCAAGAAGGTGACCATTTTCTACTGTGGACCTTTCTTTGGTCTTCTATTTTCCCCAGGGGACAGCTGTGCTTTTGGATAAGTTATGGGCTACCCAAGAGACGGGATTTGGTCATCACTCCCCTCCCCATCCCTGAGGCCACCTTGGCTTCTTCGGCTTGTACAGTCTGGAGTTGAGGGCTGAAGGGTCAGGGCTGAGAGCCGAGTGGCCCTGAATACGGCCAGTGTGTGCCGTGCATCCTATATTAATCACTGGGCTGCTACAGGAGGAATGGGAAGCCAACAGCCAGGCTCTCTGGGACACAGATTCCAGAGCGGGGTCCATCAGCGCTGGGATCTCTCCTGACCCTCCCTCTCATTGCAGCACCATGAAGCTTCTCACAGGCCTCCTGGTCTGCTCTCTGGTCCTCGGAGTCAGCAGTGACGGCTGGCTTACCTTCATCCCCGAGGCTGCTCAAGGTAAGACAGCTGGAGGAGGAAGGATTGGGCACCTACCTGCCTCCAGGATTCACCTGGAGCCCCACTAAGGGTGGGAGCCGTCTCCTAGGCTGTGCTGCCCTGTGGGGAAGAACGTTGGAGGGCTCTTCTTTACAGAGTGTAGTCATAGGTTTCTCTCAGGGACTAGCATCATTCCTGCCTGAAAGGTACCCTACATCGGGGAGAAGCCACAAAGTGAGGCTAGAAATTGGTATGACTTTTCCCTCCGAACAAATCATCTGAACTAAAATGACAGCTATCCCTTACACTTTGCTTCTTCCTCCCTCTGCTTTTCTCCTCCCGCCCTGACGCCCCCTGCCTTTAGTGTCCTGCTTGGATGATTGACAGGAAACCTCAGCCAGACTCTTCTTGCTGCTTCCTATGGACAATGACTCTTCTGGTTTGGGCTGCATCCAGGCCTGTGCAGCCTTTTAACTGGCAGCCAGGGGGAGCCACCATACATCAGACCTCCTGGATTACCTGAGCACTGGAATGTGGGTCAGGTGTTGGGCTACTAACTGCAAAGAGGGGAGTGCAAATCCCCCAGATGCTCTGCGGGACAAAGCTGGGACATGAGGCCTCAGAAACCGCACACAGTGTGGAGAGGAGTCAGAATGGCCTTGACGGCGGGCGTTTAACCACCGCTTGTCAGGTCTGAAGACTCCCCTTAACTGGGGTGGCTGCTCACACTCTACATGAACTTCAAACCCCCTTAACTGGGGTGGTGGCTCACACTCTACATGAACTTCAAACCCCTGGGGGGCAGGCATCTTTGCCATTTTCAAGGTCAGGAAGGTGGGCCTTGGAGCAGCTGAGTGGGTTGTCCAATACCTTTCCATTAATCCACTGGTGACAAGGAGAGGGTTTGGACCAGCTGTGCACGATGCAGAAGTTCTGCCCAGCAGATGCCCAGGAATGCCTATTGCTAAAGCACAGTAGTTTTCAACTCAGCTACCCCCTGCAATCACCTGGAGAGCCTTAGAAAAGACTCAAAGGACCACCCCAGAGGTGGCCCCCATCCAGGCAGGGCATTGATAACAACACAGTGCCACCCACGCTGAGGACCTGCTATTGTGCTGCCCGAGCAACTCGCTTCATGACTCCCATCCATGATGAGAGCCTTCAGGGTGATGACCACTCATGTCCTGATCAGTCACAGGGCCCAAGTCAGCCTGTGTCTGCAAGACCACGTGTCTTCAGCATCGGCACAAAAGTGCCCTAGGTCTCCTCTATGGCCTGTGTCCCATCCTGATTCCTACATCAGCAGCGCGCTCTGCTCTCACAGTCCCTGGAACTGATCCCATGTGGCCCTGCTGGGTGGAAGTGGCTTTCACTTGTCCCTTGGGACATTTGAGCACAGTCTCCAGCCTTTCCAGTGCTCACAACTTGAGGGGCACGTGCTACTGCCATCTAGTGCATAGAGGCCAGGGTTGCACCTGAACTTCCTAGCCTGCACAAGGCAGCCCTGCCCAGCAAGTCATGCACATGATCTTTGTGACTAATTGTGACCCTTGTGCCAGTGCCTTCCACTCCTTTACCACATCACAGGGAACCCAAATCCAGATGGACCACTGCACAGTGCTCAGGCATCCAATCTCAACCGCGGGGTGCCCGCCTTTCTGCTCCTGAGCACTTTTTCCTGCAGAAGCCAATCAGGGCTGAGTGGGGGTGTTTTCTGAGACCCTGTTGTGCCAGAAGGCGATGAGCCCAGGTTGAGATCTGAGGTCAGGGGAAGAGTTTTCATTCCTGGAGTCCTGTGTAAGGTGCTGTCACAATGTCTGTGTTCATATGCTGTCTCTCTTGCCTTTCTCCGTTCCTCCAGGGGCTCGGGACATGTTGAGAGCCTACAGGGACATGAGAGAAGCCAATTACATTGGTGCAGACAAATACTTCCACGCTCGAGGGAACTATGATGCCACACAAAGGGGGCCTGGTGGGGCCTGGGCTGCAAAAGTGATCAGGTAACACAGATTCCAGCGTTGGACGGGGCAAACGTGGGCTCCCTCAGGACTCAGAAAGGGGCACACCCTGGATCAGGTCCTGTAGGGTCTCTGGCTAGGCTGGAGTTGGAGTGGCCAGCAGAGCAGCACAAGTGGTGGGCTGAGTCCTTCCCAATCCCCCCTGTCTGGGTCCCAGGACACTCTTCCTCCTGCTTAAGGGTGACCAGCATTGGCTGAGCAGGACTGAGCAGACAGGGCCAGCATTACAGCCCCTCTTTCCTGTGGACTCTCACAGTCATCCTGGGAAACGGGGGAGGGTGGGGAGCGTGGCCTGTGCTCACCTGCCTGGTGATCAAGCTGCTGTTTTCCTTCCTGGGCTCCAGCGATGCCAGAGAGATGATGAAAAAAGTCCTTGGCCGAGAACGAGAAGACGGGGCGGCCGACCAGGCTGCCAATGCATGGGGGCAGAGCGGCAAGGACCCCAACCACTTCCGACCTGCTGGCTTGCCTGACAAATACTGAGCTTCCTCCTCCATTGCTTCAGGTTGTGAGACCTGAAAGCAGGGACACAGCATTATCAGGGTCTATGACCCCCGAATCTAGTAAAGGCCACATCGCAGGTGCCCAATAAATGCTGAAGAAATGGAATCCATCGAAGAATGTGTGTCTGTCTTCATGGTCAGCACTACCTGTGTGGTCTAAGGGTTGTGGAAGAGTGGTAATGAGGAGGAGGAAGCTGGCCTGCGTGTTAGCGCCTACAAAGTTCTCCGCAGGCTTGAGCCTGGGAGGCCAGACCCCCTCCTGTTTTCTTGAAAAGGATTGTGACCTTGGAGGACACCAGCTGCCCTAGTTTCCTAACAGTTCTCAGGACACTTTCTTTTGTCCTTTGAATTGGTGTGTCCGACAGTACACTTTCTGATTTTGGTTCCTTTGAAGCGTTTAAGGACAGATAAAGAAAGCAAGCAAGCACGTGCTATCAAGTTGATCTCCACTCACAGTGACCTAATAGCACAGAGTAGATCTGTTTGTTAGGGTTTCCAAGAATGCAATTCTGTATTGCAACAGAATGCCTCATCTTTCTCCAGTGGTGCTGGGCTTGAATTTGCCATATGCTTAGCCCATGAGCCACAAAAGAGCACTCAATCATGCTAAGGTAACACAAACATGCACTCTTGCCTCTCGGTTTGAGCTTACTGGTGTGGCTCCTGGGTTGCTCTGATGCAAGAAATGATACCACCAGAATTGCAAACAACTGCAGGGTCAAACATGGTACAGAGGTTTCAGTGGAGCTTGCAGACCAAGACAGACTAGGAAGAGAGGCCTTTTCAGTTTACTTCCAAAACGGAGTTGATGAACCCCTTAGGAACCACAATGGAATATTGTTGGACAGAGTGCTGGTGGTGAGCCCCCTGGATTGGCAGGCATTACACAATAGACTCAAGCATAGGCGCCCCCACAGAGATGCCACCGCCTGAGTATCCTGTCTGCTCAAACCTGAGCTTGTCATGAGTCCAGGGACCACTCAGGACAGCAGGCACATGTTGACCTGTCCTGTGCCAAATAGGACATGTGGTCACTTACCTCTGTGCTCTGCAGAGTGGTCTCCAAAATCCGTAAGCAAATCATGTCCCCACTCTGTTTTTATCTTTTTCCCACCTGTTTTATTGGCAAATAGTTCACATGTAACACAGTCCAATAGTTCAATCACATCGAGAACAGTTGTGCAATTATGATCACCATCAGTTTTAGAATGTTTTCTTCATTCTTGTCTTCATTGTTATTAACTCCCCATTGCCCTCAAACTCCCATGCCATACCCCCAAGGAATCATTAACCCAGTTACTGTCTCTATTGATTTATGTGTTCTGGATTTCTTTCTTTTTTTCTTTCTTTTAAATCATTTTATTGGTATCCTGGATTTCATATGAAGAGAAACATTAAAAGCAAAACCAAAGAACAAAGGAACAAAAATAAAAAGTAAAACAAGGAAAAATCTCACTCAAAAAGAAAGCAGAAAATATTAAAAACTAGAAAAAATTTAAATGGATCATAGGGGAGATCAAATGATGGGGTGCTAAATTTGAACTTCACTGCAACAATCCACCTCCCAATGCACTCTGCACATTAGCAAGTGGCTCCCATTCCTGGTCCATGGTCAGAGAGAACTTGCCAGGAGCTTAATCCATGTGTGTTCCCCTTTACTTCAAAAACAAAACCAAACGAAAAAAAACTGAAATAGTTTTAAGATGGGGCCAAAGGAGAGATCAAGTGATAAGTGATTACATTTTGACCTAACTACACCTGCCGTAATTGACTTCACTCTCCTCTCTGATAACAGCTATTCACATCCTTCAACCGTGATTGGAGGAGGCTTAACCCATGTGTGGACTCTGCAAATGGATGTTGGCTTTCCACTGTCATCCAGAGCCTTCTGCAAGCCAGGTGTTCACAAGTTCAGCTATGTTGCCAGTCCTTCCTCTAGATTTTGATTATATTGTTCACAATCCTTGGCTCTCACAGAGAAGACCAAAAATAGATTTTGGGGCCAGAGCTTGACACCCCATCAGAGTTCACTGGAAAACACTCCTAAATGTCAACAGTCCTTCAACTAAATACAAGCTTTTATTTTTTGTTGTTGTGTTGTTGTTTGTCATTGGCTTTTTATTGTTATTTTCTTTTCTTTTCTTTTGTTGCTAGGTTTTGCTCTGTCTTGTTTTTGTGCATGTTATTATCTCCGCAGGTCTGTCTAAATAAAATAGGTTGGATGAACAATCTAGAGGAGAAAACAACGGGACAGTTCTGGGGGGACATGGGAGAGGGGGAGGTGGGGGAAAGGAAGTGGTGTTAAAAAAGGTAACAACAGATCCAAATCGGTGGTGAGGAGGGTGTAGGAGGCCTGGTAGAGTGTGACTGATCAAGGGTAATGGAACCGAGAGGAATTACTGAAACCCGAATGAAGACTGAGCATGATAGTGGGACACGAGGAAAGTCAAAGGAAATAGAGGAAAGAGCTAGGAGGCAAAGGGCATTTATAGAGGTCTAAATGGGGGTATGTACATATATAAATATATTTATATATGAGGATGGGGAAATAGATCTATGTACAAATATTTATAGGTTTAGTATTAAGGTAGCAGATGGACATTGGGACTCCACTCAAGTACTCCCTCAATTCAAGAATACTTTGTTCTATTAAACTGGCATTCCATGATGCTCACCTTCCCGACATGATCGCTGAAGATAAATGGGTGCATAAACAAATGTGGTGAAGAAAGCTGATGGTTTCCCACTATCAAAAGACAACGAACAAAAACCATATCATTGTGAATGAGGGGGAGTGCCAAGTGGGGACCCAAAGCCCATCTGTAGGCAACTGGACATCCCCTTACAGAAGGGTCACAGGGAGGAGTGGAGTGGAGTGTAGCAACAATGAAACATACAACTTTCCTCTAGTTCCTAAATGCTTTCCCCCCACCCCCCACTATCATGATCCCAATTCTACCTTACAAATCTGGCTAGACAAGAGGATGTGCACTGGTACAGATAGGAACTGGAAGCACAGAGAATCCAGGATGAATGATCCCTTCAGGACCAGTGGTGAGAGTGGCGAAACTGGGAGAGTGGGGTGGAAATGGGGAACAGATTACAAGGATCTATGCATAACCTCCTCCCTGGGGGACAGACAACAGAAAAGTAGGTGAAGGGAGACACTGGGCAGTGTAAGGTATGAAAAATAATAATTTATACATTTTCAAGGGTTCATGAGGGAGGGGGGAGGGGGGAAAGAAGGGGGGGAAATGAGCTGATGCCAAGGGCTTAAGTGGAGAGCAAATGTTTTGAGATTGATGAGGGCAACGAATGTACAAATGTGCTTTACAAAATGGATGTATATATGGATTGCGGTAAGAGTTGTATGAGCCCTCAATAAAATGATTTTTTTTTAAAGTTGGGCATTAAATAAAGAAGGCCATAGAAAAATCAATGTATTTTGAATTAAGAATATTGAGGGTATCGTGAACTGCCTGGTGGAGTACATTGGACTGTGACCCACAGGGTGAGCCATTCAAAATCACTAGCATCTCTGAGGGAGAGAGATGGGCTTTTTACTCCCTTACACGGGATTTATTTTTGAAAGCTATGTATTTAATTTTTTTAATAAAATGATGTTATCGCCTTCAAATTTTACCATTCCACTAAATACATTGGTCAAATCTGTGAATCCATTCTTGGAAACATTTTTCAAATACATCTGCTTGGATGGCTGACAGCACCTCCCTCATTTTTTCTTCACCTCTTCTACTTCTACAAATGGCTGTCCTTTCAGGTCCCTCTTCATTCGAGTAAGCAAAAAGAAGTCGTGCTTAGTGAGGTCAGGTGAGTAAGGTACAAAGGGGTAAGAGAGGCATGCTTTTTCTTTTTTCTTTTTGGCCAAGAAATGGCATACTGAGATACTGTGTGAGCAGGTGCATTGTTGTGGTGCACGAACCAGTCCACTGGCTACCCACCTCAGGCCTTTTTTGTCGTACACTATTACACAAACTTTTCAGAACCTCTAACTAGAAAGATTGATTAACAGTGTGACCTGGTGGAATGATTTCCAAATGCACTACAAGTTGACATTTCATCCATTTGGAAAGTTGACAGACATCCAGAACAAGGTTTATCATCAATCAACATTTCACCTTTTTTGAAATGAGAAAACCTCTCGTACATTTGATTTTTCCCCGTAGAGCTGTCCTTGTAAGCTCTGTTTAACATTACAACAGTTTCTGTGGCATTTTTCCTAAGCAGGAAACAAAATTTCACATCTTCAGGCTGCTCTCTTAAATTGGCCATCCCCAAAAATCAGTTAGCGAAACAGCTTTTATGATAAAATTTTATGATAAAATTTATGATAAAATTATGACAACCTTTCCAGGTGATGCAACTGGGTGCAATAACTCAGAAAGAGTTGGTCGATGCTCACCTAGTGGGAAAAATGCATACTACGAAAACGCTGCTCTGCCCAGGGCAATTCTATTTCCTTGGGGCTTTTTTGGTACCACCTCTGTGTTAGACAGGGTTCTCTAGAGAGATAAAACCAAATTGCTGATAATTTATTATATTTATTTATAAAGATAATTAGATATATAACAAGGAATGAACTGTTAAATCATATACAGTTAAATATATAATACAAGAAAGAAACAGTTAAATTATGAAGCACTACAAATGGCTCAATTCAACTCACTGCTGTGAGAGAGATGTGAGAGACTAGCAGTCCTTCCAGTCCAATCTGCTGCCAGATCTTCCTCTATTTATAGAGAGAGCTAGGCTATGTCAGCACAGCAGCCAATCAGAAGGCAGGTCACCAACTGCCAGCCAGGTCACCAACTGCCAGTCCCCAGCTCCAGCGATGTCTTAAAGGGACCTCAACTTACAGCAACACAGTTCACAGGCTAGGTGTCCCACAGGTAGTGTAGCCTTTAAATTGAGGCACAGGACAAGCAAGGCAGCCACACACTGGTCCGATGATCAAAGAGCAAGACAAGAAAGGCGAGACTCACCAAGCCATTTATCTCTCTGCCCTTCAGTTAATCCCACTTGTGTTTATCGGCCAGGCTGGCACAATAAACTACCTCAACCACCTAGATAGCAAGAATGCTACTTAAGGCAAGCATGGTAAAGCTTGATCCCATGTACTTCAGACACATTATCAGAAGAGACCAGTCCCCAGAGAACTGCATCAGGCTTGCTTAAGTAGTGGGACAGTGAAAAAGAGGGAGACCTTCAACAGGATGGCTCGCCACAATGGCTGCCTCAATGGACTCAAACATCGGCTGGCACAGGACTGCGCAGGGTTTCCTTCCGTTGCATATAAGGCAGCTACCTCACCTGATCTCTCGACTCGGAGTCGTTTCTAACCACCTAAGGCTAGAAAAGGACTGAAGAGGGAATGTTTCTCGGCCCATTGATCATGTGTGGTGGTGGTGGTCATGTTTAGTTTAGCTTTTGTTTTTCTGATGGTTAACAGCTTGCAATCCCTTTTTCTGCTTAAAATATGTGAAACAAGAATCCTTCAGAGGTACCCTTTCAGGTGCGCCAGCATCCTATGGTTGTTAAGTGAGCCAGGGTATAGGAGGCTCTTGCCTGCTTCCCTTAACCCTCCTCTCCACCCCCCACCCTCTGCTACCTACAAGGCTTCTCTCTGAATCCACACCGGAGCAGCCTGCAGGTGGGCAAGAAACTAGGGCTCCTGGGACACCAAATAGGACCTTGGTAAAATGGTCTCTTTCCCCCAAATGATAGGCCTGTTCAGGTATCTTCATCTTTTCCCATTTAAGACTCAGTAAATATCCTCTTTTTTTAAATAATAAAAAGAACCTAGTGGACCCTTCCAAGACACGTACCACTAAGCTCTTGGTCCGTTAGGTGCAATCCTATCGCCTTTGTGTTGATTCCAACTCAAAATGACACCGTAGGACGGAGTGGAACTGCCCCATGGGATTTCCAAGGCCTGGTTAGTGCAGTGATTAAGCTTCACAGCAAGCAGTAAGGGCGGTAGTGCTAGGTCGGGTTTACTAGAGTAATAAATCCAGTGGCACTCACAGATGGGTAAGAAATAGCTTTATTTCAAAAAGTAATCATGGATCAATAAGGAATCCTAGCCCAGTCCAACTCAAGCCCATAAGTCCACTACTAGTCCATAAGTCCGATGTTAGTCCATAAGGCCCTCTTCAGACTCACACAGCCTCATGCAATGATGCGGAAGGCACTCACAGGCCATGGGTGCAGAGTTATGTGGATTCAATGGTGGTGGCCGACACCCAGGGCTCACGCAGGTCTCAGCTCTTCATAGCAATGTGAAGGCAGAGAGGGTGGGGAATAGGTTACTTGGACCCTCCTTATGAGAAGGCCATGCCCACAAGGACGTGTTGTCAGGCTGTGACCTGATTGACAGGCTAGACCGGAGCCCTACACTTTATCAAGTTGCCATGAAATTATGTAACTACCACAAGCTCACAGGAGAACAGTCCCAGAGATCTGCTCCTGTAAAATTGACAGCCTGGACCCACCAATGGGGCAGTTCTGTCTGTCATGTGGGCTCGCTGTGAGTCAGAATAGACTCACAGTCACACCATGTGAATCTCTGCAGAACCAGACTATCACACCTTGTTCCCACGGAGTAGCCAGTGGCGTTAAGGCACCAACTTTTCTCTTAACAGCCAAGAGTTTATCCGCTGCCCAACAAGGCAAGTGCTTCCTTGTGTCTGCACTTGTACGTAACCTTGCCTGAGAGAAAGATGAGGCTCTATGCCAAGAAAGAGTTACAGTCTGGGAAAAACACAGGGACAGTTCTATGCTGAGTGATGGGGCCACTGTGATTCAGAATTGACTCCCACAGTGCGTTTGTTTACTTGTGTTCTACCAATTCCCAATGGCCACCTGGAAGGCAGAATTCCCCAATCTTCTATAATCTGCCTGCATTCATACTGGTATAAATACACACAATCCTCTAAATGAGCCCTCTACCTCATGCCACCTCCTGTCCCTCTGGGACCGTGGGGCACTGGTTTCACCGCTTGTCCTGGCACAGGCACAATGTGATATGACGCACTTCTGTCACGGAGCATCACCAAGCCTTCCCCAGGTGCAGGCCAACATCAAGTTGAAACGCTCTGTGGGATGGGGAAGATGAGGTGAACACTCACCCTCTTCATCTGCATGCCCGGTACCAAACTTCGTGCTAACAGTTGGACCTGAAATACTTTCTTCTATTTCTTATATTCGGGCTTAGGCAGGCAGGGTCTTCAGCGGTGTGGCTCTCCTTCCCTGTGGCCTCCTCTGGAGACCCTGCTGCTGCCAACAATGCTCTGCTCACCTATCCGAGATGCTCTGGGCCCCACAGTCTGAGAGAGGATCACAGGAGTCTTGCAGTGACACCCCGTGTTTGAGAGGCAAATACCGAGGAGGGTAGCACAGTCCATGAAGCCAAAGGTAGGCGGTTTGAATCCATCCAGTGGCACCAGGAAGAGCAGCCAGACCATCGGGTTCCAACAGGGTGGCAACCAACCAAACCCAGCAGAGCAGCAGTCGTGGGGAACGCAGGGGTCACTAGGACTCAGAATTGACTGGACAGCCATGGGGTTGGGACTGGGTTGTAGCTCAGTGCAGCCTGCACTCAAAGAGCCCTGTCAGCCCCTCTCTTTGCTCTCCTTTGCTCCACTGGATTCCCTGGGTGTCCTCTCCCAGCAGAAGGCAGCCACAGCAGGACATTTCTGGGCCCGATTCTCAGGCCACGTGGGCTACTCATCTGATTTCTGGTTGGGGGAAGAGTGACGAAAGACGGTCTGTCTGTGTGCGCTTCCTTCCCTTGTTTGGAGGTCAGGAGTCAAGCCTGTGGGGCGCACCAATAGGAGGGGACCTTAAAACAGGGCCTGGTAAGAGCCCTCCTCACACTCCACACACTGCATGCCCATCTACTTCTGTCCGGATTCACTCCTGCCTCAGCGTCTCCAGCGCTGGCAGAGTGACCGCTGACTCGTGGCTGCCAGCACACAGGCAACCTGTCTTGACCCATACATTGCACAACGGGGAAGAATGCCCTGTGCACGGGAAAGCACAGGTGGGCAGTGTGTTTTCTGGGAAGGGTGAGAACTGGGCGGGGTTTCCCAGCCACCCTGTCTAGCTCCAGCCAACTTCCCTCACACATCCCGTCCCAGGAGGGAAGGCTCAGTATAAATACCAGCTGGCTCTCCCCAGCCAGCAGAACCAGCAGGCTGCTCAACCTGAAACCACGTAAGGGACTACCCCAATGGGGATGCTTCAAAGCTTAATCTGTCTGTTGTCTTGGTCCCAAGAAGGTGACCATTTTCTACTGTGGACGTTTCTTTGGTTTTCGGTTTTCCCCAGGGGACAGCTGTGCTTTTGGATAAGTTATAGGCTACCCGAGAGTGGCGATTTGGTCATCACTGGGCTGCTACAGGAGGAACGGGAAGCCAACAGCCAGGCTCTCTGGGACACACAGATTCCAGAGCGGGGTCCATCAGCGCTGGGATCTCTCCTGACCCTCCCTCTCATTGCAGCACCATGAAGCTTCTCACAGGCCTCCTGGTCTGCTCTCTGGTCCTCGGAGTCAGCAGTGATGGCTGGCTTACCTTCATCCCCGAGGCTGCTCAAGGTAAGACAGCTGGAGGAGGAAGGATTGGGCACTTACCTGCCTCCAGGATTCACCTGGAGCCCTGCTAAGGGTGGGAGCCGTCTCCTAGGCTGTGCTGCCCTGTGGGGAAGAACGTTGGAGGGCTCTTCTTTACAGGGTGTAGTCATAGGTTTCTCTCAGGGACTAGCATCATTCCTGCCTGAAAGGTACCCTACATCGGGGAGAAGCCACAAAGTGAGGCTAGAAATTGGTATGACTTTTCCCTCCGAACAAATCATCTGAACTAAAATGACAGCTATCCCTTACACTTTGCTTCTTCCTCCCTCTGCTTTTCTCCTCCCGCCCTGACGCCCCCTGCCTTTAGTGTCCTGCTTGGATGATTGACAGGAAACCTCAGCCAGACTCTTCTTGCTGCTTCCTATGGACAATGACTCTTCTGGTTTGGGCTGCATCCAGGCCTGTGCAGCCTTTTAACTGGCAGCCAGGGGGAGCCACCATACATCAGACCTCCTGGATTACCTGAGCACTGGAATGTGGGTCAGGTGTTGGGCTACTAACTGCAAAGAGGGGAGTGCAAATCCCCCAGATGCTCTGCGGGACAAAGCTGGGACATGAGGCCTCAGAAACCGCACACAGTGTGGAGAGGAGTCAGAATGGCCTTGACGGCGGGCGTTTAACCACCGCTTGTCAGGTCTGAAGACTCCCCTTAACTGGGGTGGCTGCTCACACTCTACATGAACTTCAAACCCCCTTAACTGGGGTGGTGGCTCACACTCTACATGAACTTCAAACCCCTGGGGGGCAGGCATCTTTGCCATTTTCAAGGTCAGGAAGGTGGGCCTTGGAGCAGCTGAGTGGGTTGTCCAATACCTTTCCATTAATCCACTGGTGACAAGGAGAGGGTTTGGACCAGCTGTGCACGATGCAGAAGTTCTGCCCAGCAGATGCCCAGGAATGCCTATTGCTAAAGCACAGTAGTTTTCAACTCAGCTACCCCCTGCAATCACCTGGAGAGCCTTAGAAAAGACTCAAAGGACCACCCCAGAGGTGGCCCCCATCCAGGCAGGGCATTGATAACAAACACAGTGCCACCCATACTGAGGGCCTGCTATTGTGCTGCCCGAGCAACTCGCATCATGACTCCCATCCATGATGAGAGCCTTCAGGGTGATGACCACTCATGTCCTGATCAGTCACAGGGCCCAAGTCAGCCTGTGTCTGCAAGACCACGTGTCTTCTGCATCGGCACAAAGTGCCCTAGGTCTCCTCTGTGGCCTGTGTCCCATCCTGTTTCCTACATCAGCAGCGTGCTCTGCTCTCACAGTCCCTGGAACTGATCCCATGTGGCCCTGCTGGGTGGAAGTGGCTTTCACTTGTCCCTTGGGACATTGAGCAGTCGCCAGTCCTTTCCAGTGCTCACAACTTGAGGGGCACGTGCTACTGCCATTTAGTGCATAGAGGCCAGAGTTGCACCTGAACTTCCTAGCCTGCACAAGGCAGCCCTGTCCAGCAAGTCAAGCACATGATCTTGTGCCTGACCCTTGTGCCAGTGCCTTCCACTCTTTTACCACATCACAGGGAACCCAAATCCAGATGGACCGCTGCACAGTGCTCAGGCATCCAATCTCAATCGCGGGGTGCCTGCCTTTCTGCTCCTGAGCACCTTTTCCTGCAGAAGCCAATCAGGGTTGAGTGGGGTTTTTTCTCAGACCCTGTTGTGCCAGGAGATGATGAGCCCAGGTTGAGATCTGAGGTCAGGGGAAGATTTTCATTCCTGGAGTCCTGTGCAAGGTGCTGTCACATTGTCTGTGTTCATATGTTGTCTCTCTTACCATTCTCCTTTCCTCCAGGGGCTTGGGACATGTTGAGAGCTTACAGGGACATGAGAGAAGCCAATTACATTGGTGCAGACAAATACTTCCATGCTCGAGGGAACTATGATGCCGCACAAAGGGGGCCTGGTGGGGCCTGGGCTGCAAAAGTGATAAGGTAACACAGATTCCAGGGTTGGACGGGGCAAACCTGGGCTCCGTCAGGACTCAGAAAGGGGCACACCCTGGATCAGGTCCTGTGGGGTCTCTGGCCCCTTGTCCATTCTCCTCCTTCTTGGTCAGGCTGGAGTTGGTGTGGCCAGCAGAGCAGAGCAGTTGGTAGGCTGGTCATTCCCAGTTCCTCCTGGCTGGGTCCCAGGACACTCTTCCTCCTGCCTAAGCGTGACCAGTGTTGGCTGAGCAGGACTGAGCAGACAGGGCCAGCATTACAGCCCCTCTTTCCTGTGGACTCTCACAGTCATCCTGGGAAATGGGGGAGGGTGGCCTGTGCTCACCTGCCTGATCAATCTGCTGCCTTCCTTCTGGGCTCCAGCAATGCCAGAGAGATGGTGAATGGAGCCAGTGGCCACGGAAAAGAGGACTCGGATGCCGACCAGGCTGCCAATGCATGGGGGCGGAGCGGCAAAGACCCCAACCACTTCCGACCTGCTGGCTTGCCTGACAAATACTGAGCTTCCTCTTCCATTGCTTCAGAGAGCAGGGACACAGCATTATAAGGGTCTATGACCCCAGCAACTAGGTACCCTAGCACCTGCCACATCGCAAGTGCCCAATAAATGCTGAAGAAATGGAATCCATTGAAGAATGTGTGTCTGTCTTCATGGTCAGCACTACCTGTGGTCTAAGGGTTGTAGAAGAGTGGTAATGAGGAGGAGGAACCTGGCCTGTGGGTTAGCACCTACAAAGTTCTCAGCAGGCTTGAGCCTGGGAGACCAGACCCCTCTTCTTTTCTCAAAAAGGACCTTGGAGGACCCCAACTGCACTAGTTTCCTAATAGTTCTCAGGACATTTTCTTTGGTCCCTCTAATCAGTGTGTTTGTGCAGCACACCTTCTGATTTCTACTAATAGTGACCTCATAGGACAGAGTATAGCTATCTTTTTCCTAGGGTCCAAGAGTGTCAGTCTTTATTACGAAAGATGATCATCTTCTTTCTCCAATAGTGCTGGGCTTCAATTGCCAACCCTGCGGTTAGCCGCTCAATGTTTAACCCGTGTGCCACAAAAGGGCCCTCAATCCTACCAGAAGAGCAGTCCCCACCTTTGCCCATCAGTTTGACATCCTCCTGTGACATGTGTTGCTATGATGCAAAACTATACCACCAGCATTCCAAACACATGTGTTAAATCTCTCCAAGAGGATAGGATCCATCATGAACTTTAGTTATTTTTTAATGATACAACAAGCTTATTGGTCATTGTCCACAATGTAACTTGCACATATTGAAATTAGCAAAGCTCGGTACGAGCTGACTTCATTTCCTCCTAAGACAGTGTATCAACTACAGCAAAGGGAATGGAATCAAACTGCAAGTGGACACCATGCTTCTGTTGTTAGTTTGTCTAGGCGGTTCCAACCCATAGTAACCTTATAGATTATAAAGAACCCCAGAGCTTCTGCTTTATTAGGAAAAGAGATAGAATCTTTGAAAAGGAAATGAGAAAAAGAAAGGCAGACTCAGTTACTGATGCCGAGAGTAACATTACTATTCATCTATGACATAAGAGCACATGGTTACACAACAACTCAAAAATAAAGTTAGTATTTTTTGAAGGAGAAAAGGAATGCTAAAGCTGTCACGCATCAACTTTTTTAGACTTAAGGCAAGGTTCTTAAGAGCCCCTTTAAATCAACCTAAAATTAAAATGTAAAAGAACTCAAAAAATAAAATGGAAAAAGTCTCAATTCCTTCTGACACTAAAACCAAGATTTTCCCCTTCTTTCAATGATGCTCTGAGGGAACATCTCTGCATAGTGACATAATCAGAAACTTCGCTTCTTCTATTATTTAACTTATGCATTTCCACACTAACCAAAATATTAGGAATATAGGTGGGAGGCAGGAGGCTAAGCCTGAAGATTGTGGCTGAGGCATGACCAACCTTAAATAGGAAACTTTGTCCTGAGCTGTTAGCTCCAAATAACACCCTGATGGCAGTGGAAATGAGCCCCTTGTAAGCCCTGAAGTGCAAAGTGCTCCTCTAACGCAGAATTACAGGAGGCTTTATCCAGGAATCAGTCTTCTCCAAGACGGGACAGAGAGGGAGTGTGGAATGCACAGTTTTCCTTAAAGGATCAAGGGAGTCACTTGGAGAGAATGAAATGTCCTGTTTTGTGCATGTTACACTTTTGTCTTCCATGACATCCCTCACTGACGCATAGCCTACAGGGGACAACACTGGAGACACAGTGTGGGAATTGTGCCTGATCTGACCCCATCACACTGAGGCGAAACACTAAGGGTGTGCAACAGAACAGCAACACAACAGCAAGAGAACAGAGCAAGGAAGTCCCAAGGGAATAACAAAAATAGACTTTGGGGCCAGGGCGTGGCACCCCATCAGACTCAACCAGAAAACACTCCTAAAGGTCAACAGACAACTATTTACAGGCTTTTCCTTTTTTGTGTCACTGGTTTTTTGCCATTATTGTTGTGTTTTCTTTTGTTGCTTTGTTTTGCTCTGTCTTGTTTTTGTGCATATTATTATCTCTACAGGTCTCTCTAGATAACATAGGTGAGATAAACAATCTGGAGGAGAAAAAAATGGGACTGATGTTTGGGGGGGCGGGGGACATGGGAGAGGGGGAAGTGGGGGAAAGGAAGTGGTGTTAACAAACCCAGGAATAAAAGAACAAGTGATCAAAAAATCAGTGGTGAGGAGGGTGTAGGAGGCCTGGTAGGAGCTGATCAAGGGCAATGTAACCAAGAGGAATTACTGAAACCCAAATGAAGGCTGAGCAAGATAGTGGGACAAGGAAAGTAAAAGTAAATAGAGGAAAGAATTAGGAGCATGTACATATGTAAATATATTTAGATATGATGGGGAAATAGATTTATGTGCATACATTTATAGGTTTAGTATTAAGGTAGCAGATGGACATTGGGCCTCCATTCAAGTACTCCCTCAATGCAAGAACACGTTCTATTAAACTGGCATTCCATGATGCTCACCTTTCCTGACATAATCGCTGAAGATAAAAGAGGGTACATAAGCAAATGTGAAGAAAGCTGATGGTGCCTGGCAATCAAGAGAGATAGCATCTGGGGTCTTAAAGGCTTGAAAATAAACAAGCAGCCATGTAGCTGAGAAGCAACAAAGCCCACATGGAAGAATACACTAGCTTGTGTGATCACGAGGTGTCAATGGGATCAGGTATCAGCCATCAAAGAACAAAAAAAATCTTATCATTGTGAATGAGGGGGAGTGCAGAGTGGAGACCTAAAAGCCCATCTATAGACAACTGGACATCCCCTTACAGAAGGGTCACGGGGAGATGAGGCAGACAGTGTGTAGTATAGCAACAATGAAACATTTAACTTTCCTCTAGTTCTTCAATGCTTCCTCCCCTCCAACTATCATGATCCCAGTTCTACCTTATAAATCCGGGTAGACCAGAGGATTTGGAAACACAGGGAATCCAGGAAAGATGAAGCCCTCAGGACCAGTGGTGAGTGGTGATACTGGGAGAGTGGAGGGAAGGTGGAGTAGAAAGGGGGTACCAATTACAAGTATCTACATATAAACCCCTTCCTGGGGGACAGACAACAGAAAAGTGGGTAAAGGGAGATGTCAGGCAATTTAAGACATGACAAAATGATAATAATTTATAAATTATCAAGGGTTCATGGGGGAGGGGTATGGGGAGGGAGGAGAAAAATTGAGGAGCTGATGCCAAGGGCTCAAGTAGAAAGCAAATGTTTTGAGAATGATGATGGCAACAAATGTACAAATGTGCTTGACACAATGTATGTATGGATTGTGATAAGAATTGTATGATCCCCTAATAAAATTTTTTTAAAATGAATGATAAAAAAAAAATCTTTGGAGCTCCGGGTTGAAGTCTGGTCCCTCTTTCCCTGTGGAGACACAATTGACACCCTCCCCCTGTGTGGATTAGTGCCCTGTTCCCCTGGCTACCCATACTTTTTTCCCTCCTCTCTTTTAGTGGGCTACCATATGCATCCCATATGTATCCCTGGATTTAGTCTGGTCCCTGCCATATTACCTGGACCTCACTCCAGGGGTGTATGTATACAGCATCTTCTTCCCTATGCCTTTTTTGGGAAAAAAAAAATTTTTTTTTTGAGCTTACCTTAGCGGAATCATGTAGTACTTGTCCTTTTGTGTTTCGCTTACTTCACTTAGCATAATTTCCTCCAGTTCTTCCCATGCGGCGATGTGCTTCATGCGTTCATCACTGCTTTTTAGGGATGCATAATACTCCATTGTATGTATGTACCAGAGTTTTTTAATCCATTCTTCTGTTGATGGAAATTTGGACAGTTTCCAGCTCCTTGCAATTGTCAACTGTGCTGCGATGAACGTGGGAGCACAGATGTCTGGCCGAGGTTTGTTTTTTGTCTCTTCCGGATATATGCCCAGTAGGGGGATTGCTGGATCATAGGGTAGCTCAATTTCCAACTGTTTTAGATATTGCCAAATCAATTTCCATAGTGGCTGTACATCCTACAGGTAAACCAGCAGTGGACAAGAGTTCCTATCTCTCCGCATCCCCTCCAACACTTACTACTTTCTGATTTCTTGAATTGGGCTATCTTTGAGGGTATTAGGTGGTATCTCATAGTTGTTTTAATTTAAATTTCTCTTATGGCTATAGATCTGGAACATTTTCTCATATATTTGTTGGCCATTTGGATTTCTGCCCTTGAGAAACTCCTTCTCAGGTCCTTTGCCCAACGACTGAGTGGACAATTGGTTTTTCCTCTTGTTGTAGTTTAGCAGTGTGTTATAGATTTTAGTAATAAAGCCTTTGTTGGATGTGTCATTGCCAAAGATGTTTTCCCATTCTGTAGCCTCTTATTACTCTCTTGGTGAATTCTTTCGATGTACATAAGTGTTTCATTTTTAGTATGTCCCACTCGTCAATTGTGCCTCCTCTGTGTTGGTGTCCTTCCCGATTTCTGATAGCCTATGTAATCCCTGTGCCAAGGTTCTCAGGTTTGACCCAATTCCCTCATTGATGGCCCTGATGGTTCTGGGTTTGACCTCAATGTCTGTGATCCACCTTGAGTTTATTCTTGTGCATGCAGTGAGGTAAGGGTCTTGCTTCATTTTTCTGCAGCTACGTATCCATTTTTTCCAGCACCATGAACTGAAGAGGGCATCCACTTCCCATTTGATATTTTTGGCCCCTTATCAAAGATCAGTTGTCTGTATGCCGATGATTTTATTTCTGGAGTTTCAATCCTTTTCCATTGGACTGAATATCTATCGCTATACCAGTACCATGCTGTTTTGACCACTGTGGCTGTGTAATAGGTGTTGAAGTCGGGTAAAGCAAGCCCTCCAACTTTGTCCTTCCTCTTGAGGAGTTCTCTACTAATTCTCGGTTTCTTCCCCCTCCATACGAAGTTGGTGATCTGTTTTTCCAACTCTTTGAAGAAAGTTGCTGGAATTTGGATCGGGATAGCATTGAACTTATATAGTGCCTTGGGTAGAATTGACATCTTTACGATATTGAGTCTGCCAATCCATGAGCATGGGATCTGCTTCCATTTGTTGAGGTCATCCTTGGTTTCTTTTAATAGCGTTTTGTAGTTTTCCTCATACAGATCT